TGAGCCCGGAAAATGTTGGTATCCAGTTCCAACGTCCACCCGTTTGCCAAATCCAGTTTCATTCCCCTGGAGTGAACGTCTTTCTCATTGTCTAACAAGGGATCTGGACCCTTGGGTTCACTACCCTTGAGTTCCCCGCGCAAAGTCTCCGGGTACCCCCACTCAGCGAGCGTGAGGGATGCGATCCTTGAGAGCATGGTGAGGAAGGGGACGAAGTCCGTCGTAAAATGAAGTGGCTCGGATTTGACAGTAATGGAATGGTCGTAGTACAACATCACAATGGTGCTGGGAGTGACGAGCGCGCCGATGACATGACTACGAAGCCCGCCATGGGACATGAGCTCGACGGCGTAGCTGGCGCACTGCAATTCTGGGGTGCTAGTGTTGGAGCGTTTCGTCGGGCGCTCGTCCTTGGGGCTCGGGCTGCGAGGGTGTTTGCTCGAGGAGCCAGAAGTATTGGCCGGTCTCTTCGCACGAGATGTCGTGACCGATGATCCAGAGGGTCGAGCAACTCGAGGCTCCGGAAGATGCGCCTTCGGAACGGGGGGGTCGTCCAATTTGAACTCATAGAAACCAAGAAGTTCGGCCCAGTGGAAGGCAGGCCCCGCGTCGTCTCCAGAAGGACCTCTGTCTGCGAGGTTGTCTGCGCTATCACGGTGCCCAATTCTCAAGGTGGCGGACTCCACGGTGCCGACGTCCGGTTTCCGTTGAGCACGAGAGCCACGCACGATGGCGGGGTCGTTTCGACAGAAGACGCTGTCCACCCCGGCGCCCTTCGTAGGCAGGAGTTCCATGCATTGGTTTGCCAGCTCCACGAAGGGCTGATACAAGCTTGTTTCCGGTACAGTGACCGCTTTATATTTGCTGAGGAAAGCTTGGACTCTGTGGTCCTCGGAGATCTTCTCGAGTTGTTGCGAGGTGGGATGGTCGGTTTTCGAAGGTAGCACCAGCTCGAGAAAGCTGTCGAAAGTGACCGTTTTCGCAGTGGCGAGATCTTCTCGCAGATATGGGAGATAATCCTCTTGGGTGTGGTGCGTCGAGTAGCTGCCATGGCTCGCCGAGCCGCGACTAGCCGGAGTAGAGAAGCTGGGAGGTGTATTCTGGGGCGGGGTGTTCGGACGGTCAGTCATGGTGGGAGTCGAGTGCAAGTCGATAGGTGTGGCCACCGTGGCTGTGCAGACTGATAGGTCGCGACTCAAATACTCAAGCGTCTTGAATTTGCGACGAGCAAAATCTCTTGCACTTTCTGCCGACTTTCTTCCATCCACGCCTCTCTTCATTCCTCCACCACTGCTTGATCACTCAGACTGCCGCCTTCCTCCTCTCCCCCTCCCACCGCCGCCCTGCGTCCCCACCGCTTCGCGCTCGCCCCGCGCCTCTTCACCGCACCCGCCCTCACACGGACGACTCGACCCAGACGCATCAACACACGCCATCGCAATGTCGCACATCCCCTCGTCCCCATTCTCAACAGCGTCCGCTCGCTGAACCTGAAGCCGACGACGCCGCATACGTCCCCTCGTTCGACTCCCCCGCCGATCTTACGCTGCGCCAGCGGATTACCCGGACAACTCGCCCAGCCAGATCCTCTTCACGGACGACAGCAACCACCTTTTCACGGACGACAACAAGCGCCTCTTCGCGTCCATCAAGGGGAGCAAGGACGCCTCGGGCAGAACACTGTGTCGCTCCCACCGGCGCCGTCCCGCGTCACCACCGCCTCGCGCACGTTTCTTCGCCCCACTCCCCCTTTCTCGGCTCCTGTCGTCATGCACGCGGACGACTCGACGCAGATCAACGCACACCAGCCATCGCAAGCAGTCTCATTCATGCACACTCAGGCGCTCCCCTGCCTCAGCACCCCTGCCTCCACTCCCTCCTACCGCCATCGCCCTGCGCACCTTTCACCGCTCTCGACGACTGCCCTACGCCGACGCATCAAACCACGCCGACGTTTAGGCCGTCCCCTGCTGGCCTCGCCACCTTTCGCCGCCACAGCCACCCCGGACCCTTCCTCCCCTGCCTGTCCCTCCATTCGCGCTGCGCCGTCACGTTCTTCTCCCCCTGCGTCCGTAGGAGACGTCAACGCTTCGTTTTGCTGCTGCCCTGCCTGTCCTCTCCTCCCTCCCATTCTCGGCCCTCCTGCCCTTTTTGTCCCGTTCGCCTTGACTGTCCCCGGCCCCAACGACCCCTGCCATCGCAATATCGCACATCACATTCGCCGCAATCATCGCGACAAGCCGACCCCTCGCCGACCTCTCCGTCTGCGTCTCCGCGGCTCGCTCCGCGTCGCGCCCACCACCCCCCATCTGCTGCTCGCCTCCTGCGTGTTCGGCCCCTCGCGTCTGCCTCTTCAAACGCCCGAGCTCTGCGCGTCCGTCGTGCCCCTTAAGCACTCGCCCGCCACCGGTCCCGCCGTCTCCGCGTCGCCCACTGCCGCCACGGTCCTGCCTCGTCCCCAGCCCCCGTCGTCTGTGCCCCGTGCACCCGCGCCACCGCCCTCCCGCACGCCCACAGCCGTGTCCCCTCGTGCCGATGCTCTCCTACGCGCGGCACTACGCTCCACCGCATCTACGACCGACAAAGGCGCTGAAGAACATGCGTGTACGTGGACAGCCACCTGATCGGGTTCGCTTGTATTCTCTCGCTGTCTGTGTATTGCTACATAGTACATCAGAATCTGTAACAAACTAAAATAAAATGCCTACCCATCTCAGGGCACTGGGCCACTTTCATGTGTATCTGAGCAAGCCACTCCGTCAAATCTCCCGAAATGCGATACAAGACCACGGATGGCAAACGGTCACAGTCAAGCTTCAACTACCATTACCAGAACCGAAAACTCGTATGTACGCAAAGTGGTCTCATTCGACCGCTCCGTATTCGCTTCAGACTACTTCCGATGATTTCACAAAAGACAGCACAGTTGACCCTGGCACCCAAATGGCAGATGCTTGTTCGCGAATGGGACCGGCGACCCTCGTTCTCTTCACAACAATTCATCTATTACTCTCTCTGCGACAGAACTGGTACGTATCATGTCTAGCCAGCGGGGCTTCTGTCCGACGCTCACTGTATAAAAGGCCCGCCCAGATGAAACCGCTTTTCTTCGTACCACTTGGGGTGCCGTTTCTTGGCCTATCTTTTCTTGTTGCTCGTTCCCGTCTCTCCTCTCGCCCTACCTTCTTGAAGCTTCGCGATGGTCCTTCTCACCGGCAACAAGCCCGCGCGCCAAAGCCTGGCTGCGCGTGTCCAGGAAAAGCTTGCCAACAATCCCGAGCTCGGTCGCGTCTTTGGCGAGGGACTCGACGAATCGTTTCACTATGCATTCCTCACCGACCCGACCCTCGACCAGCACGCCGACATGCGCATGAAGTGGCATGCCTTTGTCGACTATTACCAAGAGTCTGGCATTACTCGCCACAGGCTCCCTACCGATATCGAGCGCGGCACCGAGCTTGTCACGCTAGGTCTGTCTGTTTTCGCCCCGTTCCCACTCTAGTCGCCGCTCAATCCTGGTCAGGTGTCGTCAAGGAATTCGTAACATTCCTGGCTGTCGGCATTCAGGGTACCTTGACCGAGGTGGCTGCGCGCGTGTCGCTTCTGCACGCCATCGCTACGTACTTCGCTCTATGGCGGAGGTATGCAAATGTGCCGGTGCCCCAGGAGTACCGCATGCAGGTGCATTGTTTTCTTGCTGTACCTTTTTCCTGCGTTGCTAATGCTGTGCGCGCAGATCTCCGCTTTCATCAACTCGCTAGTAATGCGATTCTTCGCGCCGCTTAGCCGAGCCAGACGCGCAAAACCCGTCGCCACGGCCGTCGACCTCGTCCGCATCATATCCGCCACCTGGAATGATAAGGTCATCTTCAGAGCAACTCGCTCGAAGGCCCAGTTCATCCTCGTCAACAAGATCTGCCATCACGGGTGAGCGTTCAGGTGCAATAGTGGAGAGCTCATCATACCAGCGATCGAACAAAGCGCTCGCATGGGGTGACACTATCTTCTACGTCATTCCTAACCTCAAGCATCCTGAGGAGCCTCATCAGGCGGTTATGGTCACCTTTTGACTTCCCGAAGGCCATCACGGTGACCCGCAATTTTACAAATCCTTCTTTTTCATGTGCGAACCTGCTGGCAAGCTGCAAGAAAGAGGAAGAGTGTGACGGGGCATTGAGCGCGCTTGCCAGCGGGCTCGCGCATGAAAAAGAAAGATTTATAAAACTGCGGGTCGCCGCGATGGCCTTTGGGAAGTCGAAACGTGACCATGACTGCCTGATGAGGCTCCTCGGGATGCTTCAGATTCGGAATGATGTAGAAAATGGTGTCGCCCCATGCGAGCGCTTCGTTTGATCGCCGGTATGATGAACTCTCCACTATCGCACCTGGACGCTCGCCTGTGATGGCAGAGATCTCGTTGACGAGGATGAACTGAGCCTTTGAGCAAGTTGTTTTGAAGATGACCTTATTGTTCCAGGTGGCGCCACAACTATCACGACCCCCGCGTCTGCAACGCTCGACTCAGAGCTAGTCTCCAGTCGTACCAAGTGAGAAGCTTCGGCAGGAAGCACGTAGTCACACTCCCTAGGCTGTTATCCAGATATTCTGGGAAAATCAGGGAAACGCAGGGGTACCTAGGGATATACCCCACTGCTATCAACACACTGATGGTGAAGTGGTTTACATGCTTGCCTTCTGTTTTTTTTAAGGTGCAGGCAGGATAACCTGAGCAGACTAGTATTGGTGCTTGCACCTAGTAGGGGCATAGCCAGCATTGCACCTTTTGCAAGCTTGGGTGTGGACAGGGAGTGGCCTACCCCTGTACAAGTTGCAACCCCTGCCTTCACATGCATTTCATGTGCAGCGACAACAATCCCCCCTTGCATCTGCAGTAAGCCACAATATTGTTTTGCCTGTATCTCCCTAGGCTGTTATCCAAATATTCTGGGAAAATCAGGGAAACCTAGGGGTAGGTAGGGGTATACTCCACCGGTAGCAACACACTGATGGTGAAGCGGTTATCATGCTTGCCTTCCAGCTTTCGGCTTACGTCAGCCGATTACGTAAGCAGTTGCTAGCAAGCGGCAGGGGTTCGACTCCCCTTCAGTGTATTTTGTTGCTATCTGCTAGTTCCAATTGTTTTCAACGGGAAAACCAAAAAGCTCACCTGCCTGAGCTCGCAACAAGAGCTGCGGGGTGAAGAAACCGTGATGTACGACAACCGCTTCACCATCACCGTAAACCTTCCGACCTCGTCAGCTGCGGAAAAAGTACATGCATGCTCATGGTAAAGCGGGCATCGAGGTGCCATACTTATTAATTTGACTGGGTGTGCGCACAAGGAAGCAGGCATGCATCCGACTTGGCAGTCGCGTCTCCAGGTTAGCATCACGCCGTCAATACACTTCTTTAAAAGTTCTTTTGCGGACGATGTATGTATGCGGATCTGTAAGTACTTACTTGTAACTATTCGGATGAACACTGAAGATACAGTTGGCTTCATTCCACGCGTCTTGCACCCGCCAAATCGCGTCTCCGCCACTTTGCAAACTTAGGATCGGCTACGCGTATCCGGGAAATAACCATACTGACGGAGTGCACGTGGGCGCTTGAGCACGTGGATCACGCCTTCTACTCTTTCGGCGTACATCTCCGAGGAGTCGGCGGCCGTTGTTCTCTTGCGTTCAATCCCTTGCCTTTCGCCAATCCGAGAAGTGCTTGACCGCGGCTGCAGCTGGACCCCTTATCAGAGACCACGTCTACAATGCCCAAGAAAGTGGTCATCGTTGGCGGCCACGGGAATGTCTCTCCATCTCTTCCACCCGCCAAGACTCCTCCTGATTGTCCCTCGTTAGGTTGCATTGCGTCTTGCGCGCCTCATCGGCCCATCTCATTCCGTCACCTCCATAATCCGCAGCACCGAACACGAGGAGGACATAAAGGCCGCCTCAGCCACGCCTCTCCTCCTATCGCTCGAGGCTTCGCCGGTCGCCGAATTTACCGCTGCCTTCCAGGGCGCGGACGTCGTCTACTTCAGTGCCGGCGCGGGGGGCAAGGGCGGAGAGGAGCGCACCAAGAAGGTGGATTATGACGGCGCACTCAAAGTGTTCGACGCGATAGAAGCAGTGGACAGTCCGCGTCCGCGCCTCGTGCTCGTCTCCGCCATCGATATACGTGACCCGGACAAGATCCCGGCGCACTATGTGAGTAGCAGATAATCCCTACAAACGCGAGTGTTGACCGATTGCAGTCAGAGGAAGACATCACGCTTGCGAAGCGCGTTCGGGAGCACATCGCTGTGTACATGAAGTGGAAGTACGAGGCAGACAAGAACCTTGTGCGGCGCGACAAGTTTAAGTGGACGATTTTGCGTCCCGGAGGACTCAGCAATGAGCCCGGGGCTGGGAAGGCGTCTATTGGTCGTACCCACTTGTCGCCTACTATCTCTGTGCGTCATCTATAATATTGCCTTCTGAGGCTTAAACTGATCCAGCGCGACGATGTCGCGGCCGTTCTTGCGCTTCTGCTTGACCGCGAAGATGCAGCGGGCCTCGGAATTGACATGGTCGGTGGAGACACCCCCATCTCAGAGGGCTTGGATGCGATGATCAAGAAAGGGGCAACAGATTTCGTGGGATGAAAGACTTCCAACAGAAAGGAGAGCTTACCGCCGGAGGCAAAGGTCAGACCCTCCGGCAGTGTACAATTTGACAAAGTCAGAACCCAATGTAATAAATCTGGAACCGAGAATTATAGTAGCGTCTCGAGATCATGGGGTGGACTCAGTTCAAGCTCCAAGTCAAGTTCAGCGTAAAGCGCTATGAATCTTTCATTCCCAGGGGGGTTCGAATCGATCACACGAGTAGGTCCTGTGCGGCTGATGTATGCTTGACATTCAGACAGAAACAGTAGGGGTATACTAGAAAGACTTTCTCAACAGCCAGGGATTCCGCTGACTCCAGATCCGCACGCGTTCGTGAACGCATTTGCCTTGGTGTTCGTGAGGGACACTCCGGAGAACTGCGGCGGTCGGTCATTAGGGAGCAAGATCGGGAAGGCGAAGCACTACCTTGATGTTTTTGCAGGGCGTCGCTTTGTTGCAGTCCAGCAAGACGGCAGGGCGCGTGGGCGTTCCGGTCCCCTAATTGTGTCGTGGTCTTAGCTGCAGGAGCCAGGAAGCAGTTGAAACGCACGGCAAAGTTGTTGAAAGTCACGTCGGAGATTGCTAGCTTGCCTGTGTCGACACCGTTGCCCGCCCTGTTGACAGCCCACTTAGCTCTTTACAGAGTACATCTGGTCCTCGAACACCGACCAGAAGGCACTGATATCTATCTCTGCTTTCAGTAATAGCTCTTAGGGTTGAGAAGATGGCACACAAATCGGATAGGCCGCAGCGGACTAAATGCCCCCCACTCAGTGTCTGCAGAGACGCGAGAAAGTCAGACAGACGACGCACCATCGTGAAACCATTATATGTAATGTTCTTCACAATGCCAACATTGTCCGGGTATGACTTGATCATGACCCCCGCGTCCGAGTTGGATATCGTCACGTTATTGTAGACGACGTTCTGCACGTTCACTGCCGTGTTCGCTGCCCCGAAGGAGCCGATGTTACAGCCCGCGGTCCACTTGCAAGTGATGCGCTCTGCGACGAAGCCCTATGGCGGTGTCAGCGGTCAAAGGAAACGGATTCCAGCGTTTACATTCGTCGGGGTTTTCACGGTGACACACTGCGAGGAGGAGGGATCAACCGGACTACGCTCGAGGGTTGAAAAGCAGACCTCGTCCCCTGTTTGGAGATTATTTAACGATCTCCTGAGTTGAACCTGAAAGGCACGTACCGTTCTCGACCGAAACATCATGCACGTAGCTGCGTATGTTGTTCAAATTGAGATTCCAAAGTTCGACTGGGTGACCCACTTGTTGTTTCCACTCATGTCGAAGCCATCGGTCTCGCCTACCCAAAAGCTTAACTCAGAAAGAGCGAAACTCAGAGAGCACACACCAATATGACTGGCTATGATGGCCATGTTGTGCGCCACGTTGCTGCGGCAGGGAATAAGGGGAATCTGAAACCGAGTATGAACGTTCAAAGCTCACTTGTTGCCAATCATGGTGACATGAAATTGAGGGGCGTCGTAGAGCGTCACCGCCGTGATTTCACAACTGCAGATACATGAGGATTAGTTTTAGTCTCTGATTTACAACAAACTTGTTGCAGTTTTGGAAGCGAATGAGGCGCGGGCGGGAAGGATTGAGAGAGAGCTATAGAAACGTTTAGCGACCGGAGCAAGGTTCGTCTTGAAACTTTCACATTGCCTCCGGGTCGATAACGGTACCTTTGGACAAGAAGTGTCAGACAACGATGCGAGAGTGGTTGATGTAAACTAACCCGTTACCAAAGATAGCACCAGGTCCATTCAGGAGGATGTTTTGGCAGTTCTACAGGAACCCGATTAGCCCATCATGCATCACGCTTTGCAAAACCTGATTAAAGTAGAAAGATTCTGACGCACCTCGAATGTAAGCATGGTGCCGGTCAGCGAGGGGTTGTATGGTAAGTAGACGTTTCCCGCAATGTGGAGATTCCAATTCTTGGCATCGTCGAAGATAACGTTGGTCTTGAGGAGGAAGTTGCCGGCGGGGACATAGAGTAGGACGTCCGTTGCCACGGTGGTCTTGACCTGCGGTATAACGCACTTGGTCCATGCAGCAGTGAGCGCCGGTCCGAGATCAGTCGAATTGTCAGCCACGGCGCCGTAGCTCAAGACGTTGCACTCGATGAAGGCGGCCGTAGGACTCGCCACGAAGGCTAGCGCCAGAAAAAAGATTGTGGGCAACATGAGTTTCGCGCAAGAGCAGGCAGGAGTGGGCGAGTCTGCCCTTGTTTATATCTGGGCAGTGAGCAAGTCATCGGGGCGGGTGATATATCCAAAAATTCTCCACGGTTAGTCCTGCAGGTATCCATTGGAGGGACTGGCGGTCACGCGTTCACAGAGCACACGAGCTGGCGGTCCGCAGGATGGGCACAAGCGGCGCCAGCAGATCAACTATAATTAGTGCAGAGCCTACGCTGCAGGATCCAACTGGATTTATGTTATTTCCGAGCATTGATCATCTAGAGTAGAGACTTCAAAGCTTCGGTCCCAGAAGTAAAAAATCAACGGGTCGACTGCCTGAAAGAAGGTTGTGGGAGGTGACACTGACAAGCAGCAGGCCAGAAGAGTGGCGGTGACCGGAACCCGGGCCGGCGAAGGGAACCGACTTGTGTTTTCTACACCCACCTCGCGCTGTTCAAAGCTTTGGTACCACTGGCAATCCGGTCTCCGAGCCTGCTCCGAACTGGTATCCACTTGGCACCCCTTCCAGGAACTTCCAAGTCTCTTCCAAGGATGGCCTCTGGAAATGTGGCCCCGCCCACTGACAAGGACGGGATCGTCGCGCTCGACAAGCCGACGCTGTGCGGCACTATCTCCGAGGCCCGCTTCACCGCCCGCGAGCGCCGCGAAGCCCGCGCCCGCAAGCCGCAGCCATGGGTTGTGCGCAAGCTCATGGTCGTCGTGACCCTCGGCATCATGGGCTACACCGCATACGTATACGGCGGGCGTTTCGTCCTGCGCCTGATCAACAGCGGGCGGCGGAGGGAGGCGGGTGAGCTGCGGTCTGTCGATGAGCGGGATCGATGCTGACGAAGCGCCGCAGTCGGGCTGCTCGTGCCGTGGTCTTTCCTGTATGCATGGATGGTCTGGGCGTATGCAAAGGTGTGTGGCGAGCTATGCGCTCTTCTGACTTAATTGTTATTCCCAGGTCATCATAACACCCCCAGGAAACGCCTGCGACGTGCGTCTACCCCCTGACCATCGACGTGCATGTAGCTTACGCACCCCAGTACACGCCCAAAACGCCGCAGCCGCTCTTTCCCCGCGGCCAGTGGGAAGCAGAGACCCGTCAGCCACAGGACCCCGACACCGACTCCGCCTCCGCCTCCTCGGACGCGTCCCTCGCGGACATCGAGGCGGGCCGCATCGGCGGCCCCGCGTACGAGGAGTTGCCCGCGACGCACATCCCGGGCACCTCGTTGCCCATGCCGAATGGAAACGGCGGCCCAC